CAGATTTTACAAAGTTGTACAAAGAAAATTGTGCACATTTGTCACATTAAAATTAAATAACCTTATGTTGTTTTCATTATTACTAGAATTGTATTTTAAAGGTAATAAATGTTAAAAAAAAAAATTATTCTATTTATCACTAGCCACACCCACAGCTTCGCCCCATTATATCAAATTTTTTTGTGGGAGTAAGATATTTTCTCGCAGTAAAATGTAGCCTATGTCCATCTTCAACATGTAAGCTATCTCTGTGCCAAATTTTATTAAAACCTGTTTAGCGGTTTAAACGTGAAAAGGTAACAGACAGACAGCCAGAATTGCCTTCGAATTTATAATATTAGTATGGATTAATATGAATTTCAGTTATAAGAGGGTACGCGAGTTTTAGCTCTTTTTTGAAGTGTTACATAGGAAAAATTAATTGGGAACCACTGGTCTAGACCTATTAAAACGATTGCCAATACCCTTAGAGGAAAGAAAGAAAAAAAAATGTTTTGTATTTAATATCAATTATTTGTTGATTTTAAACTCGGTTTAGTTACATCATAAAAGAGCAACGTCACATCCATTCACTGGGTAATAAAAACAATCACATTAAATATGTATTACAGTCGATCCCCCTATAAGATCATTGATTTTTCCGTTTTATCTGAATTACATGTTGTACGAGTCACTTAGATTTTACAAATATGTGAGCCGTTCACAGCCCGGCACACGTATTTGTAAAATCTAAGTGACTCGTACAACATGTAATTCAGATAAAACGGAAAAATCAATGATCTTATAGGGGGATCGACTGTAATACATATTTAATGTGATTGTTTTTATTACCCAGTGAATGGATGTGACGTTGCTCTTTTATGATGTAACTAAACCGAGTTTAAAATCAACAAATAATTGATATTAAATACAAAACATTTTTTTTTCTTTCTTTCCTCTAAGGGTATTGGCAATCGTTTTAATAGGTCTAGACCAGTGGTTCCCAATTAATTTTTCCTATGTAACACTTCAAAAAAGAGCTAAAACTCGCGTACCCTCTTATAACTGAAATTCATATTAATCCATACTAATATTATAAATTCGAAGGCAATTCTGGCTGTCTGTCTGTTACCTTTTCACGTTTAAACCGCTAAACAGGTTTTAATAAAATTTGGCACAGAGATAGCTTACATGTTGAAGATGGACATAGGCTACATTTTACTGCGAGAAAATATCTTACTCCCACAAAAAAATTTGATATAATGGGGCGAAGCTGTGGGTGTGGCTAGTGATAAATAGAATAATTTTTTTTTTTAACATTTATTACCTTTAAAATACAATTCTAGTAATAATGAAAACAACATAAGGTTATTTAATTTTAATGTGACAAATGTGCACAATTTTCTTTGTACAACTTTGTAAAATCTGGTTGCTTTTTGGTCAGCTTCAGTCTCGAGTCATCTTTGAGTTGACTCAAGTCGGTGACGATGTTTAGTTTTCATGTTTGTCATGGCCGAAAATCCGCTCTCGCAGTTGTATGTTGTGCAAAATGGTAGTAAATATTTTATTGCCACTTCGCTGACATCATAAATTCTAGCCCGATTTAAAAGCGAGATGTTGCAACTGATTATTAAACTCAGTGAAGTTTCATTATACTCTGCGAGAAATCGTGTTGTCGCAAGCAAGAAATAACAGCAACAAAAATTTTCAAAATTAATTTCGCGAAAACAAATTGTGTTAATTGTACAATTTTTGTTTCTTGCGTAAGAATTTCATTTAGGGATTGTCACAAATGCACTTTTTTGATGAAATTTCGAGAATATTTTTAGTTATGAGTAAACGAATTTGTACATTCGACATCATGTTGTAAATTGCCGAATTTTTGATGGTCCACCCATTAATTTTTTGATTGCTTCATCTCATGCATTTAAATTTTAAATCGACCGATTTTAGATTGCCGCATGTACCCCTTCATGCAATTTCGCGAACCCCCAGGAGTAAGCGTACCACTAATTGGGAACTATTAGTCTAGACGGACTGCACGGAATATTTTAAATAAGGTCTTTAATTCTCTCTGTGTTAAATGAAAATGGAAAAAATCTCTTGGCCATCACAGAGCAGGATGATGTAAGAATAATGGAATTTTTTTTATACCCAATCTGGTTTTCTTGGAATTAGAGGCTCTATTGATGAAAAGCATACAGCTATTAAGACTTCAACTGAAGCAGCAGGAGCTTATTTCAATAAAAATAAGTATTACTCTGTCATCATATAAGTTTAGTTTGTAATGAAAAAATGGTATTCAAACGATACAATTTCTTCAGAAGTCATTTCCCATATGCAAGTAAAAATTCATTCAAGTATACGAACTTATGTAGTTTTGGATTACTATTAATGCTGTTCATTTCTTTACAATTTATTTAATACTTTGAACGTAACATTTCTGAAGATTCCAAACTCTTACAATGTAAACTTCACTTTTAATCATAAACAATAAATCAATTTTAATCATAAACAATAAACAAACTTAATTTTTTTCACATCTGTTTATGAAAAAAGTCATCTAAAAGCTATTGAACCTTACAATAAAAATAAGATCATTGTAAACATTTTATACAACAAATACTTGAAATTTAGCAATAAAAATACTTCCTGCAGTTTATTTCTCCAAAAATAATTCCATTTTCATTACTTCATACGGAAAGTAATTTTTTCATGGAAGCAGCCATATTGAATTAGCACAAAGCTTGACAATGAACTAGCTATAACTCCGAGCTTACCAATTTTGCTAAACATGACATCACATAGCTCTAAAGTAAATGCCAATGAGCATGGCGCTCAGGCAAAAGTATACAGGCTGAGCACGTGCTGACAGTAAAATTAGCTCAGAAGTAAATGCACCCTGAGAAAAATACTATTGGTCACAGACATGATCGTTTTAAAGGGGATAAAAATTGCTTCATGGAATTGATACTTTGTAATATCTCACGAGGGAACATCTTAGCAGGAATTTTTAACAAGAATCTTATGGACAGGTCCAACAAGAGAGTGGGATGATATGGTAAAATTTCCCAGGCTCAGGATTCACAGACTTCATTCCAAACTTTTTTCAAACATTCCCAAGGCCCATGTAAATTTCCCCCGGGCCAGTGACATCTTTTGAGGTCATTGTTTATGAGCAAAATGATGATACAGTAGAACCTCGAAAACTCGGCTCTCGATAACCCGGCACTCCGGATAACTCGACCACACCCTGGCAGGGCAAAAAAATCCTTAGTTAATTAATTTTCATTATAGACAGCTTTATAAAAGTATAATAGCTCTCATAAAGTATTTTTCTGAAGTCTGTCTTATCAGGTAAATTACTGTACACAGTGTATTCATTAATTTTCATTTTCATGTAGTAAAGCCTATGCCTATGCTCTATGCCTTCATAAAGGACGTACTTTTCCTCTATTTAAGAGTATTTGGGCAGTTTATTCTCTGTTATATTCTCAAGTAAACAATACATACAAGTACAGTACAGTATTTTCTGAGGAAACACTCGTACTTATTTTTTTTAACCCCATTCCCGATAACCCGGCATTTTTACAAACTCGGCCACCCTTCGGTCCACATTAGGCCGAGTTTTCGAGGTTCTACTGTACTGCAGAATTTGAATGACTTAGGATAAAAAAAAGTCTCAGGCAAGAACATCTTAACCAGGTTTTACTGTACTATTATAAAATGACAAAGCTTAATTTTTAGGATAGAGACGAGTTTTATAAAAAAAAAATTGTGAATGCTAATAACGAGTAAAATATCAAGTCCAACCACACCGAATAACCCCTTCTATTTCTACACACTGTCAAGCTTTAATTAAGAACCAAAATTTAATAGCATTAATGCTCTTTATACACAAAGCTACCATGCCAAATTTTGTTTAAACTTCAAGGTTAAACCCATTCTGAGATATTGTTTGATATTTCAAAACAGAAAATAAAGACATTAAACACATTAGATGCCAACACACACAAGTTTTCCCCCTTTATTTGACATTTTTTTGTGCTTGGGAGATCTCCAAAACATGCAATTTGCAAAAAACTCAGAGGGTCAAATTTGACACAATTCCAATACTTATCTGTTTTATATACATAACAAGTTAGGAAAGTAAAAAAAGTCGGAGTTGTTGAAAATCTGCTGACTCCAACTAACTAAAGCACCAAAACTCCACAACTCTGACTCCACAGCCCTGCTTTTAAAACTATGAAAGATATCTAGACAATACAAAGAATCAAAAACATTAAAATAAGAAAAACTAACGAAAGTAATTAAAATAAAAATACAATATGATAATTTGACATTAAAGGTTAAATATATTTAAATTAAGCAATTAGAATTCTATACAATTCTTTTATGTAAAACATTTGAAAATCTTTCAAATCAAATCATTAAAGACTATTAGTAAACACGAAAATCGGGCAAAATCAGTTTCATCCGTTTGAGAAAAAAAAATCATCCAAAGGGAAATTTGACTGGTTTTGCTATACAAATTCTCCTTGTAGCTTGAGGGGTATAAACAATTTTGTCTCCAGGTATATAGAAAGAAGAAATTTTTAGAGTTTGAGTTAAAATAATATAATATCGTATATTCTGGTGTATAAGACAACTTTTTAACTCAGGAAAATCTTCTCAAAAGTCGGGAGGGTTGTCTTATAGGACAAGTATATCCCAAACTCTATATTTTAACTGTAAAAGTCGGGGGTTGTCTTACACGCCCAGTAGTCTTATATGCCGGAATATACGGTATATATCTCCTTTTAATGACATGAACATTCAGTAATATAGTTAAGACAAGTTTGTTTTAATGTTTTATTGTATTTAGTTCTATAACATAAAATGTAGTTTTAAATAACTAAATGCAGTTATATAGTTATTTATTATTGTAATATTTAAAAGAACTAAATATATTCATATATCAAATTTACCTAATAAATATTCAACTTCTCTTTATTCATGCATAAATTACCAATTTAACTTACAGTGAATTCTCCAGTTACAGCATCAAAGCCTACATGAACTGTGTGCTCAAAATTTGTTGGAGGTGAAATCACTGGTTTTTCAATTTCCTTGCGATCTTTCTTTGTACCTAAAAAATGTATTAATATAATTAATTATGTAATAATTTAGTTTAAGTTCATAATTTTAAATAAAACCTTATGAACATTCATCATACCATAGCAAGTAAATTTTAACTAGTTAGCTAGCTATCAAAAATAATTTATTGTTTTATATACCATTAATTTTTAATTATTAGAAAATTATGTTTTAATACTAAACATGAACTTTGATAAAACCATGCACAATTGCACTAATTGGTATGTATATACTGATGGCTCAAAGAGCAAACACGGGACAGGGTCTGGTATTGTTATCCTCCATAAGAATGGTCACAAGACATACCAGGCACACCTTAAGTTGGCAGCCCACTGTACCATTGTTCAGGCCGAGCTATGGGCCATTCGCAAGGCAATCCAATGCACAGACAATTATTATACATATTATAAGGGCAACGTTAACATCTTTACGGACAGTAAAGTGGCCCTTCACATTTTAAACTACCAAAAGAAATCATCTGTTCTAGCTGCTGAAGTGATAAAGGCTACTCAAAACCTGGGAAGAAACTGTAACCTACAGTTTACTTGGATCCCAGCTCACAAGGGCCACGAAGGTAATGAATTGGCTGACAAGTTGGCCAAGTCAGCCTGCACATTGTCTTCAAAACTCACCTACAAGAAGTTACCTGCAATTTCCCTGAAACATCACTTACAACAGATAGCTAATGATATGTGGCAGAAGGAGTGGGACTGCGCTGGTACAGGAAGGATGTGTCACAACTTTATACTTTCCCTTGTGCATCTTAAAAAAGCCAGATGCAAAGGTGACCCAGTGCCTTACAGGACACGGGAACTTTGCATCATACCTGCACCATTTTGGTAAGCAGATCGACAGCACCTGCAATTGTGATGGACAGAGTGAAGACGATGCGCTACATTTTCTCTTCAGCTGCAACAAATACAACCAACAACGTGCAGAACTCTTCCAAGAATATCTCCAAACAGGATTCAACTGGCCCCCCCAATCTTGTAGACATTCTTGATAACAAAAAACTATGGACGAAAATGAAGAATTTCATATGCAATACAAAAAAACTCAGGCCCACGAATTCCAGTAGCCAGCAAGATTAGTGACATGGCCACATCCCACATCTGGACCAATAATAGACTGGCTGATATCATTTAAGGTAGGCCGGCTACTCGCCCAATTTGTTCAACCCGTGATTTGACTATACTGGCATATGCAAATTAGACCCACTGGGTTTATATCTACTAGATTCTTCAATGTTGTTAATGCTAAAGTTTATAATGTTTTATCTCTTTGTCAACCCAATTTACAGCATACTTTGTAATTGTTGAAACTTTGTACCTGTTCCCCCCTTTGCTGCACACATTCACTCGCATGCACAAACTTGTCATGTTTGTTTTTATACTGTTTACTGAACATATTTTGTTTTGTCACTGTATTTTACTTATTCAACAATTCCGATGCAGACGCTCAATGATCCAACACTTCCCTTCAATCTTTCCCTATTTTCTTTCCCTCCCTACTTACTATCACTTCCTCTTCTGATTTCAATTTCAACACTTCTAATTTCTTAGAGGTAAAGTCTGTGCATATACAGACAACCTCTCTACTCTTTTAATGTAATGTAACGTTTCCTATGATATTGAAACATTTTCATATTGCCTAATTTTCAAAATCAATGTCTATGATGATCCTTTTTTTTTGGTCTTGTGTTTAACCATGTGCTTCACAATTCTGTTATGATGGAAAATAAATTACATTAGTATGTGGTTGTGTGCATAATCTTTCAGTTTGAAATTTGAGAGAAATTTTGGAGATATTTAAATATCAAACAATAAAATCATAATATAAACTATCTCAATAATATAGTTGATTATTATAAATCAATATAAAACACTAAATTCTGTGGACTGTCCTTATAGTTGAGAAAACAAAGTATATATAGCTAAGAACAATGCATCTAAGGAAATGATTGACTTTCTAGATATAAATTTTTCTTAGTAGTTTACACATTGATAGCTTTTGAACTAATTTCAAGTGTACATGACTTTTAACTTGGTAAACAATTCTGGACATACAGCTATGAACTTATACAGGAAATCCTTGTTAAGTCAAACTTTGATGGTTCAAAATCCAGTTTGTTCATAAGTGTAATATTTATCTTGACTGAGAATAGAGAGATTTATATGTTAAGGAATTTGATTAATTTGAAATACAGCTACTTTGAAATTTGAAATAAAAATTCTGTCCAAACTGTGATAGGTACATATTAACACACATGTTTAGATCAAAGTTCACACATCTCCATACTATAACAGAATACTAGACCTAATATGGTCAACATGGCTTTGCTTTTACAATAACACATTTTTCAGTGTCACCTTACCCATCAACTATCTTATCTCAAAATACAGCTAGGATTCAGGGTTGCAATATTGGACTACAGGTAGCAGATTGAGATATTTGTAGGATTCTAACTACTAAATTCAGGCAATTTACTACTGTAAAATAATTTGGGCCACATTTCAAGAATTCTACTTTACTTTTTATAAAACTTTTCTGGAAACCTACAAGATTCTCACCAAGCATGTGCTGTTTACCTGCCATTTATTTATAATAATAATAATTTATTATTGTTGTGTTTAGTGGGTTATACTCAGTTCACACCGGTGGCTGTGTACTATGCCAGACCAGAGTCAAGGCATAGCAACCAAAAACTAAAATTAAATAAGTGTGTCATTGTCTGTATTCAGGAATTTCCTAACAATATAGCATGTATTCAATATAGTGGCCTTCTGTAGTGTGATGTATGTATTTTTATTCAATTGTAATATTCCCAGGCTTTTATATAATTGTGTAGTATCACACCTGTACAGGAGAGAACAACAGGTACAATAATTACCCTATCCATCCTCCACAGATGCCTTATTTCCTGGGCAAGTTCTGGGTACTTGCTAATTTTTTCAGTTCATGTGTTTTGTACATTGTGAGTGTTTGGAATGGCTATGTCTATAATGTATGTGGTTTTATTGTGTTTGTCAATGAGAGTGTTGTCTGGTCTGTTGTAGTAAATTGTTTTATCTGTGATTATGGCTCTGTCGTAGTACATTTTGTGCGTGTTATTTTCCAATACTGTCTGTGGAATATACTTGTAGTATGGTTCGTGGATGTCTGCCAATTTGTGTTTCTTTGCAAGCTCTTGGTGTATTATATTTGCTACTTGATTGTGTCTATGTAAGTAATCTGTCTGTGCCAAGAGCTTGCAACCAGAAGTGATGTGTTGTATAGTTTCTGGCATGATGTGACATTTTCTGCATGTGTCATTTGTGAGTGTTGTATCTTTGAGTATGTGTTTTCTGTAGTTTTTAGTATTTATGACCTGATCCTGTATGGCAATCATGAATCCTTCCGTCTCCCCAAAGAGGCATCCCCGATCTAACCAGCTGTTTGACGCAGTTTTGTCAACAAAATCCTGGGCCAGGTCGTAAGGATGCCTGCCATGGAGAGCCTTTTGAGCCCATGATTGCTTAATGTTGTCTATGCTTTTTATATGTTGTGTCATGTCTGTATGTTGTGAGTGTAAGTTTAATGGTGTGTTATTTGAGTCTGCTAGAGTTACTGCTTTATGTAACTGTGATGTTTCTTGTTTCTTGTAGAAAAACTCTCGCAGTGACTGTATTTGTTTGTAGTGAAGGTTAACTATGTCAATCAGGCCATGTCCGCCATCTTTACGTAAAAGGGTTGTGGTGTGACGGGTTAATAAACAACCGTAAAGTACAAGACGACACCACAAATTAATATAATTTTCAATAAAGATAGATGAAGTTATTTATTTAAAATTTTTACTTTAATACATAATCACGAGCCCGTCCGTGGTACAAAAGAATCATTCTTCTTTTTATGTTCTTATCACAACTTGTACACCCGATCGCACGTGCGAGTCCCGAGGCCGTATTATAATATTACTTATAATTAACTATATCTAAAATATGACTAATATAATCTATGTTAGGAGTAAAGATAGAAAAGTGAAAGTAGAAGAAAGTCACTCTTATCTGCACAACAAATTGGGCAAGCTCCTGAAGTACGCTCCTTAACCGCATGGATTCCTTCCCTTGTCCACCTCACGTCGTTCCTTCTCGCTCGCTTCCCCCAGAATGAAACAAAGAAAAGTCCCGTCCTCCTATGCTACCTTCACGGTTGTTTTTTCTTTTTAGCCCAAAACTCGCCAGAAAGTGCAAATAGGTTGGAAGAGACAGAAAAGAGGAAAAATAGTGCAGTTTTTCTCTTTTTAGTAGAAGAGGAAATTATAGATAGCATAAGATTATACAGACTAAAATATACATATACATGGTGGGATACACCACAGGGTTAATCTTTCTGTGGCAGATTTAGGATGATGTTGTTTATGCTTAGTAAGCATTGTTCTTGTTTTCATTTGGAGTTGCTTGAGATCTGTGTGAGTCCAATGTATAACTCCAAAAGAGTATGAGTACTGGCATGACACATGTGATTATTGCTTTAACTGTGTGTTTTGCATTTAACTGTGTTCTGAGGATAGCGTTTAACCTACTTCGGTATTCTTTAATTAATCTTTGCTTTATTTGTATATGTTCTGTAAGTTTGGCCTGTTGGAATCCTAAATACTTGTAGAACTCACCCTCTTCCATGGATTCAATAACATCCCCATTTCCAAGTGCAAAATCTTCTTTCTTCAGGATTCCTTTCTCTATGTGAAGTTTTTTGCATTTATCTAAGCCGAACTCCATTTGTATGTCCTTAGTGTATGAGTGTGTGATTTGTATAAGTTGATGAAGTTGTTTCTGTGCGGATGCATAAAGTTTTATGTCGTCCATGTACATGAGATGTGACAGCGTAAACTGTGTTGTTTTTTCATGTATGATATTGTAGCCATATTGTGTGTTGTTTAACATGTTGCATAATGGGTTCAGGGCTAGGCAGAACCAGAGAGGACTCAAGGAATCTCCTTGAAAAATTCCTCGC